CCCCCCCCCAGTCTCATTTTCAGGAACTGGAATTGTCCATTGGTTTGCTCCATAGCTACATCATACTTTCTTCCCACCTTCTGATTGTTTATTCATTCTGCTGTGCTTCCAGCTCTTTCTCTGGCCACTGGGGAGTCAGCTTAAATCTCTTTTATGTGCCATTTTCTTCACTAGTGTTGCTGAAATCTGTTAATATTTTGGTTCTCTATAGAGAAGTCTTGTAAATTTCCCACCAACACCAAGGCCAATATCTCATTTTTGGTCATTGTATTTATTAATCAAATGGATTCATCTTGGTCCTTTGTGTTAGTTCATCTTCGTGTTACTATCAGGTATGTTTCCCTACGCGAGTTTAATCTGTCACGGGCAGGGCCCTATGAATCACGTTGGTGTTTGTATCATTAGGATTGTTTCAGCTGTAATTTCTCATCAATCCGAAATCAACCTATTAAGCAGAAGCTATTTATTAGTACACATCACAAGAAGTCCTGAAGTAGGGCAGCTGTAGGGTTGACTAAGTGATTGACTCAGTAAATCACCGAAAGTCTGGTTGTTCCCTGCCATTCTCAGTATGTCAGCATTTTCCCAGGTTATCTTCCCCATGGTCACCGGATGGCTATTACAGTTCCAGCCAACGCCTGCAGATATGCTAGCCCCAGTAGAAGAAAAACTGCTTTTTCCACAGGGCTGTTTTTATGAGGTGGTAAAGCCTATTCCAAGAAATCTCAAACTTGCCGTACTCAGGGGGTTAGGTTTTTATCACAGCCCCTGTCTGAAGAAGGCTCTGGCAAGGGAAGTGGGTGTACCAGTGTTGACTCATTTAAATGATGCTTCACCTTCTGGGGAGAGGGGTAGAGGTAGCAATGGAGACAGGTCCCCATTTCCCTGACTGAAGCACGTGGCCTTAAGGATGGGTTTGGGGAAAAAATCAGGTTTCTGCCAGCCAGGAAAAGGGAGGAAAGATTGTTGGGTGGGCAGCACTGTCTACCTTCGTCCACCTCTTTGGAGAGGTAGCTTCTAGTCACATCCATCTTCTGGTCCATCCATCTTCAAAAATATTCCATCACCCCTGTTTTCCTTCTAATACTGTATTAACCCAAGTCCTGGATCCTTGTTCCAAGTCAGACCTGGTGGTAGTTCTTCATGGTCTGGTGGCTTGCAGTTGAAGATAAGTTATTCATATTCAACCAGCCAGAGAATTGCAGAGTAGGTAAAACAGAGCCACTGCAGTGAGTGCCACACACAAGTCCCTGGTTTGCAGTGCGTTGAAACCCTGGTCGGGGCCAGGACTCCCTGGTGTGGCAGTGGCCTCATGAGTCCTTGGTTCTGCCCTCTGAGCATAATTCTTCTGTGGCTACGCTCAAGATGGTCGTTCAGGAGAATGTTTTTCTGTAGCTTCAGTGTCTGAATTCTGTTGGTGCAAGTTGAGTTTCCAGGGACTACCTTCCAGGGACAGCCAGGAATCGTCTTCAGTCACGTTTAAGTAATATTTAAGTTCAGGAACTTCTGTCTTCCATTCATCGACTCTGGTATTGTTTCCTGTTTCTTGCATTCTTTGAACTTCTCCTGTGACAACCAACCATAATATCATTTTCTGCCGTTATTGCTGCGAAGAGAATGCCCCACCAAACATGCATTAGGTTTCTCGGGAAGTCAAAGGAAGGAAGTCAGAGCTGTGCTAACCAAGAGCGGTAAGGACAGGTATGGCTCCAGGCAGAGGAGGGTTACGAGGGTAGCGTACTAGGGTGGGTCCGGTGTCCACAGCCTCGGAAAGTCTGCACGGATAAGACTTAGCCAAACACATGACCAAATCTGATTCTCCTTTTGGCGTCTAGATCAGGTCTGCCCATCCTCTTCTGTCCAGCCTCCAGACATCTGTCATTGTGCCTGAGGATCTAGTCCCGTGTTTCGTTCCCTGTCTGTGTCCTGTCGTTGGCTTTTGTTTTGTTGTAAACAGCATTCTGTTCAGCCTGCCCCCTCTCAGTTTTCTGTTCCCCCAGATTCAGCCACTTGCACCCCTTGTGGCTCTACTTGCCTCCATATTTCTAAATAACCAGCCTATTGTAGTGCATCTTGATTTTCCCCCTTAATAATGATTATTCAGTATAAAAGTGTAATGATTTAATTCTCTTTCACCCTCCTTCCTTCATACTCCCCATGATACACACACTGTCTTCTTATACTCCAGTCATCTTAATGAAGTTACTTCATTTGGGTTAGATCGGTCTTCAGTTCTTACATCTTTATGACTATGTAAGTTCTGTTCACAGGTAAATCATGCAAATACGCAATGGTGTTAATTTTTGTTCATAGATCATTTATTTTCTTTTGAGTTGTTTCATTTGTCTGCCAAGTCTTCCCTGTTCTCATCATTAATGTATTTATCATTAACCCCAGACTTTTCTTCACATGTCTAAATATTCTTGTGGTACAGTCAACCAATTTAGTAATTCTGTCAATCTCTTCCTGATGACATCACTTCTTTTTGACTTTCTCCATTATAACCTAGTTTTTCTCATATCCTGGGCATACCATTTTTTATCCTGGAGTCTCAGGTTTTATTTTCTATATCTGTTTTGTGTCATCTGTTTTCTTGGTTGGTTTTATTAGAGCACTCTTCAAGTAGCTTCCTGTGAAAGAGTGCATGTGATACAAATTTTGAGACCTGTGCCTCCAAAAATGTTTATATTTTACTCCTGCATGCTCTGCTTTTTGTCCTCTAGTGATGCTAATGAGAAGTCAGATGCCATTCTAAATTTTGATCCAATTATTTATTGAAAGAATATAATGCTGAGATCCCTTCCAACTGCTTTATATTTTCCTTATTTTTCCTTGTACCTATTTTGTTTTCTTTACTCACTATGCAAAATTTCAAGACTTAAAACTATCTGTATGCATTGTCAGTTTTCTATGCCTATCTTCATTTTTAGTTTTTTTTTTTTAGTTTTTTTTTTATTTTTGAGACGGAGACAGAGTGCGAGTGGGGGAGGGGCAGAGAGAGAGAGAGAGAGAGAGAGAGAGAGAGGGAGACACAGAATCCGAAGCAGGCTCCAGGCTCTGAGCAGTTAGCACAGAGCCCAAGGCGAGGCTCAAACTCAGGAGCCGTGAGATCATGACCTGAGCTGAAGTTGGACATTTAAATGACTGAGCCACCCAGGTGCCCCTTCATTTTTAGTTTTGATTGTTCTCCCCAATGGCCAGGAGTTTCATCACGTTTATACTTGAGGTTTTATTTATATTCAGATCCGATATATGAAACTAAAAGTATAATCTCATGACATGGCATTTTTAAGATGATTTTATGTTCTGCCAGGATCGTGTTATTATTTTTAACATGTAACTATTTTCTCATTTCTAGAAAAAGTCCTGGAAATTGATGATCATATGGACTGGCATCAGGAAAATCAGGGCAAGCTGGAAAGTATGGCAAAAAACTATGAATGTACTGCATTTGGAAAACTATGTCTTCTTAGTACAAATTATGATTCTTCAGGACAAAAGCTTCATAAATACATCACTCATGGAATGAGTTTTAAATATAATATAGATTTCAATAGTGGTTTTGCTGGAAAGAATCCTAATGAGTTTCATGCATACAGGGAACCATTCCATCATTCTAAACACGAGCAAACTGTTACTGGAATAAAATACTGTGAAAGTAATGAATCTGGTAAAACTGTCAACAAGAAGTCACCACTCATATGCCAACAGGTGTATGTGGGTGGAAAACCCTTTGAATGTGGTTTTTGTGGGAAGGCCTTCAGCAGCAAGTCATACCTTGCAGTGCATCAGCGAACTCACGCAGAAGAGAAACCCTACAAATGTAAGGGATGTGGGAAGGACTTTAGCAGCAAATCCTACCTCACTGTCCATCAGAGAACTCACACAGGAGAGAAACTCCATGAATGCAGTGAATGTGGGAAAGCCTTCAGTTTCAATTCACAACTCGTTATACATCAAAGAATTCACACAGGTGAGAATCCCTATGAATGCTGTGAATGTGGAAAAGTATTCAGTAGAAAAGACCAGCTCGTTTCACACCAGAGAACTCATTCGGGGCAGAAACCCTATGGTTGTAATGAATGTGGTAAGGCTTTTGGTTTGAAGTCACAGCTCATTATACATCAAAGAATTCATACAGGAGAGAAACCCTTTGAATGCAGTGAATGTCAGAAAGCCTTTAATACAAAGTCAAACCTTATGGTACATCAGAGAACCCATACAGGGGAGAAACCGTATGGTTGTACTGAGTGTGGAAAAGCCTTTACTTTCAAGTCGCAGCTCATTGTACATCAGGGGGTTCACACAGGAGTAAAGCCCTATGGGTGCATTCAGTGTGGGAAAGCCTTCAGTTTGAAGTCACAGCTCATTGTGCATCAGAGAAGTCACACAGGAATGAAACCTTTTGTATGTAGCGAATGTGGCAAAGCCTTCAGGAGCAAGTCCTACCTCATTATACACATGAGGACTCACACAGGAGAGAAACTCCACGAATGCGGTGACTGTGGGAAAGCCTTCAGTTTTAATTCACAACTCGTTATACATCAGCGGATTCACACAGGAGAGAGTCCATATGAATGCCATGAATGTGGGAAAGCCTTCAGTCGGAAATACCAGCTCATTTCACACCAGAGAACCCATGCTGGGGAGAAGCCCTATGAATGCAGTGACTGTGGGAAAACTTTTGGCTTAAAGTCACAGCTCATTATACATCAGAGAACTCATACAGGCGAGAAACCCTTTGAATGCAGCGAATGTAGCAAAGCCTTTAACACAAAGTCGAACCTTATTGTGCATCAGAGGACCCATACAGGGGAGAAACCCTACAGTTGTAGTGAATGTGGAAAAGCCTTTACTTTCAAGTCACAGCTCATTGTACATCAGGGGGTTCACACTGGGGTAAAACCCTATGGATGTAATCAGTGTGGAAAAGCCTTTAGTTTGAAGTCCCAGCTCATTGTGCATCAGAGAAGTCACACAGGAGTGAAACCCTACGGATGCAGCGAATGTGGAAAAGCCTTCAGGAGCAAGTCCTACCTCATTATACACATGAGGACTCACACAGGAGAGAAACCACATGAATGCAGTGAATGTGGAAAATCCTTCAGTTTCAATTCACAGCTCATTGTACATCAGAGAATTCACACAGGAGAAAATCCCTATGAATGCAGTGAATGTGGAAAAGCTTTTAATAGGAAAGATCAGCTCATTTCTCATCAGAGAACTCATGCAGGGGAAAAACCTTATGGATGCAGTGACTGTGGGAAAGCCTTTAGTAGCAAGTCCTACCTCATTATACACATGAGAACTCATTCAGGAGAGAAACCACATGAATGTAACCAATGTGGGAAGGCCTTCATTTGGAAGTCACTACTCATTGTACATGAGCGAACTCACGCAGGGGAAAGCCCTTATAAATGTAGTCAGTGTGAGAAATCCTTCAGTGGAAAATTACGGCTCATTGTACATCAGAGAATGCACACAAGAGAGAAACCCTATGAGTGCAGTGAATGTGAGAAAGCTTTCATTAGGAAATCTCAGCTCATTGTACATCAGAGAACTCATTCAGGGGAGAAACCCTATGGATGCAATGAATGTGGAAAAACCTTCTCTCAGAAGTCAATTCTCAGTGCACACCAGAGGACTCATACAGGAGAGAAACCCTGTAAATGCACTGAATGTGGGAAAGCCTTTTGTTGGAAGTCTCAGCTCATTATGCATCAGAGAACTCATGCGGATGAAAAACATATTGATGAATTAAATGTAAGAAACTTTCTTCCAAAAGTCAACTCATAGGAAACTCCAGCAAATTCATACAGAAGAGAAACTCTGTAACTGAAATAATCTCATTGTACACCAGAAAACTAATATTGAATAGAAACCTTATGAACGCACAGCATGTGGCAGGGCACCCACAGAAAGCTGCTTTTTGCATATAAAATAAAAACAGTAAATGCACACGGAATGTCATGAATTCAGTGAGCCCGGTAGGTCATCCTTTGTTAAAGTTTGTACAGGTGAGGAGCCATATCAATGAAGTGAATTTTGGAAAGTTATTTTTTTACTGTGATAAAATTTGCAAAGAGGAAGTTTCATAAAGCAAATGAATATGGAGCACACTCCTTTGAAATTAATTTTAAACTGTAGGATTTTAATGAGAGAATGTGTAAAGGCAACGAATGGCAGAATTATCAAAATTGCACACTCTTTAGGTATCAGAAAATCATACCTTGGAGAAATCATGCTATAAATTAGGGAAATTCTTCATCTAGGAAAGACAAACTTCTATTTAAAAAAATATATTATGAATGAAGATCTATGAATGTGTCAGAAGGGGTAAAGCCTCAGTAGAAAGGTTCCCTTCACTGTTATTTTAATTTGGAAGATAATTTAAGAATTATTGTAAGGGAAATTATGTTCCAGATGTTCCAGATTGTTAGGAAAATATTGGAGAAAATATTCAACTATAAATGATAGGCATGTTCATAATGGAATATAAAGTGGTTTTTTTTTTTTTTTTTTTTTTTTACAATGTAAATAAATATAATCAGGATAACCAGAAATACATCATAAGACCTACAGGGATATTTAGATGTTATCTTCCTTTTACTATAGGAGTTATGTGTAGTTTGGCATTCCACTTGTGAATGTCACATATGAGAGATAAGTTAGATACATGCCATTGCCCAGGGACTTATTCTTTTTAAGAAATATAACTTGTTTCTAGAATAATATGATTTATTAAAAATACATTTCAATACTACAAACCTTTTCTACTGTTTTGTACCTTTTGTAAGTGGGCCTGGTGGCTACTTCTTTAGTTACGTACATTATTATAGTGCATAATTGATGTGTTTGTGTAGCTGGAATCTATTCTGCTGTCACTAGTTAGAACATCTTGATTTTCACTAAGATAATCTCTCACAGTGTGTGAGGTCCTGATGGGGCCATCATTCAAGGTGCCCTACAAAGGACTTGACATGATCGTCAAAGTAGGCTGAGATATTCCAGACTTTGAATTTCTCATGGACTCCTTAAGTACCAAAAAGCAAACTGAGCTTTTGTTTTCTGGTAACATTTTCCTGCAATTATTAATTCGTTCTTTCTGTATAGATTACCCAGGATAGCTTTAGTTATTGTCATTTTAAAATTCTAATTCACTTATCTTTATATGAGTTATCTGGTGTGCTTTTAACATATTTAAATGACACATTTAGTGGCACTGCTGAAATGTGTTCAGGCACACCTCATTTTATTGTCCTTCGCAGGCAATGCTGTTTCCCAAATTGAAGGCATGTGGTGACCCTGCACTGAGCAAACGTATTGGCTTCATTTTTCCAATAGCATTTGCTTACTTCATGTCTCTGTCACATTTCACTAATTCTTGCAATATGCCAAACTTGCCATTATTAGTTATGGTGATCTGTGGTCAGTGATTATGATTTGCTGAAAACTCAGCATGGTTTAGCAATGTATTTAAATTAAAGTATGTACATTGCTTTTTTTAGACATAATGCTATTGTACATTTAATAGACTACAGTGTAGTGTAAATATAGCTTTTATATGCGTTAAGAAACAAAACTTCATTTGACTCGGTTTATTGCCACATTTGCTTCACTGTGGTAGTCTGGAACCAAACCTGCAGTTGTCTGAGGTACGTGTGTACGTGTTGCTGTAGAGTGAGGATGGGGAAAAGTCACTGTGCCAGCTTCCTTCTTACAAGGTCAGTTTTCCTCTCCAGTTTCTTTATGTGAATGAACATTAACCTGAAGAGAGTTGGGACCCTGGCAATCACAGCTACACTTCAGGAGTAGCGTATTGCAAACCACAGATGTTTCTCTTTTTAAATTTTTAAAAAATGTTTACTTATTTTGAGAGAGAGACAGAGTGTGAGCAGGGAAGGAGCAGAGAGAGGTGGAGCCACAGAATCTGAAGCAGGTTCTAACCTGCTTGGAGGCTCTGAGCTGTCAGCACAGAGCCCGACTTGCAGCTTGAACCCATGAACCGTGAGATCACGTCGGACGTTCCACCGACTGAGCTGCCCAGGCGCCCCTCAAGCCACAGATACTCCTGAATCCCCTCCCACTTTGTTCTCTGTACTTGAGGAGGGAATACCACCATTTACCCTCCTTTGAAGGAGGTGTTTAATGATTTCTGAATGCCTGGTCCTTCCTGTGTTCAGCTCATTACACAGGATGCAATCTAAAGATACCTGGAGTAAAGAAGGATGATTCACAGAAGAGAAGAGAAAGTTTGCATGAGGGAAGAACGTCAGATACTTGATCAAGTGTATTCCCTAAATCTGGAAAATATGATGAGTATGTGTTCTGTCATAGATGTTCCAAGGAAGATTCACACATAATAATGAATTGTGTGAATGTATCATGCGATGCAAATCCACATGCAACCTTGCCCAGTAGAAATGTTAATATAATGTTGACAACATTATAATGTTTCAACAACGCTGAAATCAAATACTGTGGGAAAGGCTAATGCTAACATTAAGTTCTTAATCTTAAAAAGAAAATTTGGGGCAACTGGTCAGTGTAGAGTGTGCAACTCTTGATCACAGGGTTGTGAGTTTGAACCCCATGTTGCACGTAGAGATTGCTTAAAAATAAAATAGGGGTGCCTGAGTGGCTCAGTTGGTTAAGTGTCTGACTTTGGCTCAGGTCATGATCTCACGATTCATGGGTTCGAGCCCTGCATTGGGCTTTGTGCTGACAGCTCAGAGCCTGGAGTCTGTTTCGGATTCTGTGTCTTCCTCTCTCTGCCTCTCCCCAACTCACGCTCTTTCTCTCTCAAACATTAAAAAAATAAAATAATAAAATAAAATCTTTAAAAAAAGAAAATCTACCAGATAAATGAAATTTAACAGAATGAATAGATTTACAACCAACAAACAATAAGAAAAAGTAAAAAATTGAATCTCTGGCTTGAAATCTGTCTAGCCCTTCTAACCCTGCCCCAGCCCCAGACTTTTAGTAATAGCTGATTATTCTCAGGAAAATTCAAGGAAAGATAATCCAGCATTTTACGGTTTTTCCAAAAAATCGACATGGGGGGGGGATAATTCATGAGTCGTATTTATGAACATAGGTTAAAATGTACTAAATCTAATAGCAAAATTAATTCAACAATGTGGAGGTTTTTTTTTTTTTTAAAGCCATGACAATACGTGTAGCAGACTACTAGTCATGAACCCAATGTCCCTTCATTACCAACAGAGTCACTGTGCCTTTTTATTTTAAAGTTGATTTATTTATATTGAGGCAGGGGAGGGGCAGAGAGAGAGGGAGAGAGAGAATCTCAAGCAGGCTCTGCACTGCCGACACGGGGCCTGAACCCATGAACCAGTGAGATCATGACCTGAGCTGAAATCAAGAGCCGGACCCACTCAACTGACTGAGCGACCCAGGTGCCCAATTACTGTAGTTTTCATACTGACAATGAGCTCAGCCAAAAAGTTACATTCCTCCATTGTTCTTGTAGTGAAGTATCTTGCTACTAAATTCTGAGTAATGAAGTAGAGGTTGCTGACAGTGTCTAATGGAAAGGCTGTAAAGAAAACAATGGGGAAAGCCCCCTAGTGTTCTGGAATCATTTCCCACTTTAATACACAGCACACATGATGTTTGGAGATTGAGCATCCATTGTGGAACCTGGATTCATCTCAAGGACAGAAGCCACCTGCGTCCGTGCTTTCTGGTAATGACGGGGCTGCTATACCAGCTCTACACTACTAACATCTGAATATCTTTTACACAAGGGTGCATGAACTGCCTTGTTTAAGCCACCTTTTCTTTTTTAGGTAGGAAGGGTGTTGGATCTGTTATATGCAGCTGAATGTCACCCTATAAAAATACATTATGATGTTTGGGAGATTTAATATTTAGAAAATCTTCATAAAATTAATCACACTACCAGATAAAAGAAAGGCCATGTGATTATCTCAATATGTGTAGATAACACATTTGATGGAATGTAATACCCTAGATGATTTTTAAATATTATTAAATTAGGAATGGAAATTAAATCCTTTAACTTTGCAAACAGAATGTTCCAAAACTGGACATAAGTACTTATTGGTAGATGTATGCCATTATATTAAGAAAATTACAAGAATGGCCATCACTTTTATTGAACAGTGTGTGATAATTCTAGCCAATGTGTGGAAACAAGGAATTGGGGGTGAGGGCAGAAAAAAAAAAAAAAAACTTCCATTGTTTGGAGGTGTGGTTGTCTATTTAGGAAAACCAAAATAAACCTCAGGCAAATACAGAGAATTGCAAATAGAGTAGGATCTCTACTGGATGCGTATCAGTTGTGTTGCTCTGCTTCTGGTTAGACTGGGCAAGCTACGACATCTTAGAAACTGAGAGCACAAACCGCAGTGAGCATGGCGGTAGGAAGTAGAAAGCACTTTCTATAAGAAAAGAGAGTTTCTGCTCTCATCCTCGGTGAAACTGCAGGAAGAGGAGAGGGCCCACGTAGCAAAAGGGAAAGCAAGACAAGCAGGCAGTTGCCTGTGGACTGGCGTGACACATCAGAATCCCAAAGTGCCCCCGCCACGAAGGAGCATCCGGGCAGCTCTTTCCCATGGGTCTTCCTGGAACCCTCAGAGATAGTATGACAAGTGCGATATTGATAGAGAAAAATATTTTAATTTTATTTTTTAAAATTTGCATCCAAATTAGTTAGCATATAGTGAAACAATGATTTCAGCAGTAGATTCCTTAATGCCCTTTACCCATTTAGCCCATCCCTCCTCCCACAACCCCTCCACTAACCCTCA